GAAAGGGATTGTCTCAGGGACAGACGGCTGTGACACCAGAAATGCAGCAGAGACATGACAGAGGATTAGTAGCAACAGAAACGCAAACCAGAGCATGAGACAGAGTGATGGGCTTCCTTGTCCACAGAGCAAGTCAACAGAGTGGAATGCCTTTTAGGCTTCGGTCAACAGTGCTAAAAGAACTTGTTAACATTGTCCCACCAGGGCAGAAGCCAGGTCAATGGGCTAAAGGACAGAGAAAGGCCAGCCTTTGGACATGGTAGAGAATAGGGTATCTTGACCAAAAAACTATATCTTGAACATGTCTGATCCTGAATTGGACTTGTGACCTTCCCTAACTGAATCTAGGTTTAGTGCTGTAGGATTGAACTACAAGGTCGATGGTTCAAACCCACCAGCTTCTCCTAAGAACCCTGTACAAGGTCGCTGTGAGTAGAGCTGACTCAACGGTACACTAGCACAACAATTTCCCTAATAAACCTTATCATTTTGAGTATTGTGAGTATGTGGCCATTGCAATGGATCGCTGCAGGTGCTATGGGAGGGATGATGGATGATAGAATTAGGAAGAAAGGTTAGAGGATAGAGGCATATCTGACCTCAGTCTCATAGGAATCGGCCTTTGGGGGACACTGCGTTTGATTCTCCTTCTCCCTGGTGAAGTTAGAGGTCAGACATTATCCCTGCATTGAGGGTCCTCCAAGTATAATGTTCTTTCCCAGGGACGGGTCCTTCCTGATAACATGTCCAAAGTACATGAGACCACACATGCTTTTAAGGACACTGACTGCTTCTTCAGGCAGAGTTGTTTCGGGCAGTCAATGATATATTTAATATTCTTTACCAGTACTATAATTCAAAGACATTAATTATTTTTAAGCCTTACTTACTCCTTAAAGTGACATCCTTGCTTTTTAACATTAAAAAATATATATTTTGTTGTGAATTATGTGATAGTTTACATAGGAGAACATTAGTTTTACATTCATCCTATCGTATATCTTTACATTGCCATGGTTACAATCCCCTCCATGCATCATCAACCAACCAAAGGGTATATACTACAAGCCTGCCCCCCGCTCGTCAGCACACAGCCCTTCTCCCTCTCTGTGTCTAAAGTCCCCAGCTGCTCCATCTCTCCACGTCATCGTCTCTGCCTCCATCTCAGGGATCACTGCTTCTCTGGGTAGGGTCCTGCTCTCTGCTCTTCTCCCTTGATGGTCCCAGGTACCTCCGCTCCTAGATTGAAAAGTTAATCACTCCCCTCCTTGCTACAAAATGTCTACCTTTATATTTCCAACCCTCACAAGCAGTCCTAATAACAATTATTCACTATTGTATCACAAGAGACCCATCCGCATTTCATCAGCCCCACCTAGACAGATTGGATACTACTCAGTGGAGATTCTACCTTCTTTCACACCCTCTTGAAAGCTTGTAAGCCAGTCACTTCTTGCCTTTATAGCCCCCCCTTTTTGGGTAACCAATGTCCAAGTTGCCCATCCCTGTCTACTCTGTATATGGAGGGGGTGGGAATGATCCTTGCTATAAGGATTTTTTCCCCTATTTTGAGCTACTGCATCCATAATTGTAGGTCAAGTTCATCAAATTGCATCAGATTACTCTTTTTTTTTCCCTCTTCTTTCTTCTTCTGGTTGAGCTCTGATCATCCAGTCATTTGAAGCCAGGTCAAGTGGGTATTATCTGTAAGTGTGTGTGTTCTTGTGCATAAAGAGGGAGATAAAATATCTAACAGCACATCAACTCATAATCTTTCCTGTTCTGGTGTACCCACATTTTACAAATTTCGGTTCATTTTGGTTTCGTTTTGTCAGCCCTGACAGGAAGAACCAGTTCAAAGCCCTCTTCAGATCCTTTCTTGTCTCTCCCAACTTCTGGTAGCCCCAGGGATTCCTTCACTTGCAGCTGCATTCTAATTCCATCTCTGCCTGTCTTTACTTCATCATCTTCCCTGTGTCTGCCTCATGTCTTTTCCTCTTTTATACAGGTTCAGAGTCACCTGCCCCACCCGGCCACCTGCTCCAGTGTGACTTCCTGTTAAATGATAGCATCTTCAAAGACCCTATTTCACATTCACAGGTACCAGATGCTATGACTTAAATATACCTTTGTGTGGAGGGTATTTAAAATTCAGTCCATAAATTGCACCTGGGAGAATGTATGCAGAGAGTAAAATATTATAAATTTCTTCTACCAAACAAAATTATAAGGCAATGTATGAGAAGCTAGTTCATCAGTAAAGAAGAGAAGAGTTCCCTCTAGGTCAGATACTCCAGGAAGAGAGACCAAGCTGATTTCCCAAGAGGCCTTGGTGTCTCAGAGGCTTTGATCGGTATTTTCTAAGCTCTGCACATTGGCTGTTTCCCCAGGAAATGATTTTTTGCCAATCTAGTCCAGGATGGCAAACAAAACCTAGGGAAGACCAGCTACACTAAGGTTGCTTCCTAATTCCTAAGTGGAGGCAACAGGAAAAGGGAGCTGGAGGCAGGAAAAGCAGGCCCAGAATTGGACAGGATGTACTCGAAAACTCAATCAAGACACCCTTGAGGCATGTACAAAATGATGTTTATTGAGCCTATTTTAGAGGCAGACAATATGAGAAGGTTTTGGGCTTGTGAGCTCATTCAGAATTTAAAGTCAGGATCGCTTCCCGTCTTTAAACATCAGTCACAGGAAAAGTTGACTATAAATAATGGAAATAAACCTCTGTCTCATAAAAGGGGCAAAAAAGTGGTTAGCACTCCCGCTATCATTCTTGTAGTAGCTCTGATGGTTAACATGCCCATAAACATCAACAAAACTTTTATATGTGCAGTCTGAAATATTTGCTGCACAAGCATCAGGTGTGTATACTAAGGTAAAGCTGTCAACTGACTGACGCTCACCAAAAGGTAAGTGTGCTGGGTCTATGCTGACAATTCTCTTCTCAGCCTAAGAGCTTATATATTTAACTGATGACTGCTGTCCTCATCAGAGACACTTGGGATATGGAAAAGGCATGTAAAAACTGTGTAATTAACCATGTAAACTCAAAAAGCAAACCTAAGATGGTGAATTACTTTGCCTGGGTCAGTAAACACTGGTCTCAAGTACTAAGTGTACAAATAAGGACAGAAGCCATCAGTTAAAGAAATCATCACATTGTTACCTACTGATGTTCCATTTGCTAATGCATGTTGGTCAATTTCTGGTCTGTATCCAACATATGCACAGAGATTATTTTTTGTTTGTAATTCTCAGAACATGTCCCTTGGACATTTCTCTTCCATCCCTCTTGTTTTTAAATGCTATCAGTCGATTCTGACTCATAGCGACCTTATATGAGGTTTCCAAGGAGCAGCTGGTGGGACTGAACTGCTGACCTTGTGGTGCACAGCCCAGTGCTAATCCTATTAGCACCATACCGACTAGATGAAATGAAACCGTGTTTGTTTTTTAGAAAGAAATTTCCCAATTTCCAGTCAGCCAAAAGCACAACTATGGTCATATTTCAGATCTTTACTCAGAAGGGAAATGCTGTCAAGGTTTAGATGAGGTTAGAAGACCACATCTTCCCCTGATGGCAGCTTCAACTGATCCTCACCCTCTCCCAATCCCCTCCTACCATACTGGATGCCATGCTAGCTCCCATCCAGAGACTTACACAGTCCCAAGAAGTGCTGGAGATTCAGAGGAACCTTCTCCTTTAATGGAGGTAGCAGGCTAATCCAAAAAAGGAGGACGGAGATTCCAGGTGGATGAAAAGACCCTAAACCTGAAGGGAACAGTGTAAAGGCCACAGTACATACTGTGTCCCAAATAGCATTTTGAGGCCTCACATTTTAGAACTTCCAGGTACTCTGGATGCCTATGAATCTCTCTGCAGAGGTCTTGCTCACACTTCTCCGTCACCCCCACTATAAAGAACTCAGAGACTCCAATGGCTACAGTCTGCTCAGGAGGCAAGCCAAGTCTCCTTCCCACAATGAAGCTTTTCCATATGAACACAGGCCATAGTCTGGATTTGAGACTAGCTGTTTCCAGAGCTCTGCAGTCTATGAGCCCTGCCCTCCACAGACCACTTTACCTGAACTACACATCTAGTCTCCTTTCTCAGCAGGTAGCTGGTTTGTGAGTTTGAGGGCATACCCCACCAGGAATGAACAGTACAAGGGTCTACGTGCAAATATTTGCCTTTTTTTTTTTTTTTTTTAACTATACATATTTTTAAAATTCAAGTCACATCCAGGAACAGACTAGGTGGTTAGTATCCATCAGCCTCTAACACCCACAACAGGGTAACTGTCCGCCTCTGAGATGAGAGAGGGGTTAAGGCACCAGCAACCCCACACAAGGTTCATTCCTTGAGTTTGGGAGGAAGCTGAGAGGGAGCTTTTGAGGCTTAACATGAGACAGCTCCTCCATCCTCAGTGTCCCTGGTGAAGGTAGCTTGGAAGAGGGACCCTCACCCACCATGGACAACTCTTCCCCGGTACTTCTGAAACTCAAGGAAGGAAGGCACGTCCCAGAGTCATACCTGGGAGGGACTGCCGTCTACTCCCACTTAACACAACACAGGGGAAAGGCGTTACCCCCACTACCACCTCTTTCACTCATAAGCCTCTACACATCACAAGGAACCCAAAGGGGGTGCCAAAAGTACATCCTTGATGGTTTTATGGGCAGTCCAGACAACCTCCTGCTCTAGTAATGTCAAGAGTGGTTAGCAGACCTTGTTGGGATTATCAGACTGTCCAATATCCGAGTAAAACCTCAGCGATGAGGCTCTGAGGCAGGCGATGCTAGAAGTCAGGTGAACATTAGACATCTGGGTTTATATGACTGCATTACAAACATGAGAAGGTTTACCACAGGGATTTCCCCGAGGACTGATCCAGACCATCATGGTGGCTTGTTCCCTAGAAGAACTCAGGCAGCAGTTCTTGGTGGTCCTTGAGATGGAGCCACCCTCATTCTGGTTGCTAAGCAGGAACTGGGGCTCAGCTGAGGGAAGTACAGTTCAGCTCCTCATCCTCCTGGCTGGTCCCTGCCACCTCCTCCAGCTCGTCAGGGCTGTCGGTGATGTTGGGCTCACTGGAGCACTGCCGGGGGGCAGGGGGGAAGCTGGGCGGCAGGAGCAGGCATTTGTCCTCACTGCTGGCCTCCTCAACCAAGCCTGAGTGCATCATGGTGGCCATGGCCAGCAGCTGGATGTCCGAGTGGGCGTTGGCCACCGTGTGCCGCCGGACGCTGCCACACTTCTCTAGGTAGGCCTCCCCTTCTTGTTCTGTTAGTGGGGTCAGTGTCATCTCATTCAGTGGCCGGCTGACTGTGGCCGTTGGGGTGGTGTAGTTCAGAAGAGTCACCTTGGGTCGGACCCTGGAGTGTCGCCTGGCTGCAATAGAAAAGGCAAAAAAGGCTGATCTTAGGGAAGAGGCCAAAGAAGAAAACCCAACCACTCCTGTCAATTCCAACTCTTGGTGACCCCATGTGTTAGAGAGTACCACTTGGAAGGGTTAAACTTTTCGTTTAGTAGTTGAGCATAAATCTGTGGGTGAGAAGGAGGTGGTAGCTTTAGTATGATGGAGCCCTGATAAAATGCAAGAAAGAGAAAAGTCAGGGGCGAAGCTTGATGGCAAATCGGGGGAAAATTCAGTGAGAACCTCCGTCAGCAATAACACAGAATACCAGACGAATTAAGTTCAGGGGACTGTCCAGAACACTGAACCACATATAAAGGAATACTTAGATACTTTGAAGGCTTACAGGCAGTGGAATTTGTAGTGGAAGCAAGAAATCTGGAGCTTTTGGATCGGCCAGCCTCAGTGGCTCACGGAGCAGCCATCTTGGGCGAGATGGAGCAGGGGAAGGATCAGAGCCACGGCTGATGCCTGACACATCCTCGGAGATAAAGGTGTTGACATTGTCTCCTTTTTTTTTTTTTTTTTTCTTTCCCTTTTCTTTGTTCATTGGACTCTGTCTGCACACCTCCACTCTGGTGATTAGAGGGATTGCCTGAGCGAGTGGACACCCCCAACCCCCTGAGGGTTCTACTACATATGTGCACAGGTCTGCTCAGAATTTAAAGAGAAAGGATGCCCTTAAAATCAAATGGCAGTGCATAACAGCCACAACCGGCCCTGAACTGTTAGTCACTAGGAAAAAGGCCTGAATGGAGGTTGTGCAGTGGGAAAGAGACAGACTGAAACAGGAAACCGGCCAGAAATTAAATCCTGAGTTACGTCATAATGACCAACAATGGCATATTGAAATTTCTCAATGGCCTTGAAGGCAAGAAGCTGAGAGAGGAACATTAAAGTCATACTCATATTTTGCTTATTTTTTTTTTTCCTCTCTTTTCTGCAATTATAGACCACAGTATCTAATCTGTCTTTTTTGCTGTGTTGTTTTGTGTTTTGGTCACCTCTTTACCTTTAGGGGGCTTTCTCTTCCTATATTACCCAAGAAGAGACAGCAATTGTGGTCATATAGTCAACCTACAATCACACCTATAAAATCCCACCATCCAGGCAAGAACCAATACCAGCTGCTATATACCAGGTAGGCAGCCAACACCTGCTACAGTGACTCTGAGATGAGAAATAAGAGTGAAAAGGGAAGCTCATCTCCTGATCATATGTACCTGGAGGCAATCATAAAGCATAGTAAGACATCAGCATACATTCATCTAATTATTAACATCACAATTTACTGCTGAAGATGCCCAAGAAACAGATGACCACACTAACATGTCCAGAAACAAGATAAAGTGACTGAGACAAGTGAGCTGGAGGTAAACCTAGACTTCACATTGGAAGGAAGGTAGGATTTGGAAATGCCTGAGAAGGAATTTAGAAAAATAATAATGAAATGTATCCAAACACTTTACAGTGGAGTTGAGAAAAATAAGGACGAAGTCAGGAAAGTGCTATAGGAACAAACAATCAAATAAGATAGATACAGCATTGGAAACAATTCAAACCCTACAAAAAGAGGTCCAAATAATTAATAATAGAATATCACAAATAGACAATACACTGAAAAGGCAAAGGAGCAGAATTGAAGAGATGGAAGCCAGAACTAGCGAGCTGGAAGACAAATCTCTTAGTACTGCTAAGATAGAAGAACAAGCAGGAAAAAGGATAAAAAATATGAAGAAAGTCTAAGATTCATGTTTGACAACATGAAGAGGAATAACTTAAGAATTATTGGCATTCTGGAACAGGAATAATCACACAAGTCCACAGAGGAGATAGCTGAAGAGCTCCTGGAAGAAAATTACCCTAACATCCTGAAAAACTAAAAAATAAACATTCAAGAAACTCAATGAGCCCCAGGAAGGATAGACCCTAAAATAAAATCACCAAGACATGTAATAATCAGGCTCTCCAAAATCAAAGATAAGGACAGACTCCTGAAAGCAGCTAGGGAAAAGGTAAGTGTTACATACAAAGGCAAGCAAATTAGATTAAGCTCAGATTTCTCAGCAGAAACCATGCAGGCAAGAAGGCAATAGGGAGGGCGGGGCTTGATGGTGGCTAGAGCGGAGGTGCAGTGAAGTTCACCGTCAGCCATACCACAGAATACCAGGCAAAGCAGATCCAGGGCACAGCTCCAAAACTCGGAACCACAGAGCTAGGAATATTTTTATAGTGTGAAGGCTTATAGCTACTGGAACTTGAAACTAAAGGAAGAAATTGCGTACTTTTGAATCTGCCGGACTCGGAGGACTGAAGCCAAAATCTTGGACGAGCCCAAACAGCAAGATCAAGCAGGGGAGCAGAAACACCATGGAAAAATGCCACAGGAACCTTGAAACAAAGGTGGACATTACACTTTGTTGGTTTTGTTTTGATTTTTTTTTTTTTTTTTTAATCTGGTCATTGGAACCCCCACTGTTTGTGCACCTCCATTCTGGTGACTAGAGGGGGTGCCTGAGTGAGTGGATACCACCCTTCCTCACTATTGGTGGGTTCTTCTGCCACGCATGTGCACAAATACTCAACCCAAGAGCAGGCCCTGAATGGGTTTTTTTGTTTGCTTGTTTTTTAAATACAGGAAAGGGCAGGACAGGGCTGTAGAGAGGGGAAAAGAGTATGAAAACAAAACAGGCCAAAATTTAAATTAAAGTGTGAGGTATAGTATAAAACCAACAGTGGCATCTTGAAATCTCTCAGGCACCTTTGAAAGCAAGAAGCTGATGAGAGGACATTAAAGTCATACTCATATTAGGCTACAGATTTTTTTTTTCTTTGTTCCTCTCCCTTTTTTGTGATTTTAGACTGCAGTATTCAGTCTAATTTTTCTTGCTGTTTTGGGTTTCTTTTGTTTGTTTTGTATGTTTTCTGCTGATGCTGTTTTGCTGTTTTATGCTCCCCCTTCTACCTTTGGGGAACTCTCTCTATATATATATTACCTAAGAAGAGTCCACAGCTGCTACCATTTAGCCAAGCTACAATCATACTCTATAAAACACCAAAACCCAGGCAAGAACCAATACCAACTGCCATATACCAAGGAGGCAGACAACACATGTGAAAGTTACTCTGCGTTAAGCAATAAAAAGAGTGAAAAGGGAAGCCCTCATCTTGATCACATCTTCCTGGAAGCAATCAAAAAGCATAATTACCAAAACACATAATTAGGTATTAAGGCCACAGATAAACACTAAACATATCCAAGAAGCAACAGCAGATGACCATATCAGCACATGTCCAGAAACAAGATAAAATGTCTGAGACAAATGACCTATAGGTAGACTTAGACTCCATTCTGGAAGGAGGGCAGGCTTTGGAAATACCTGAGAAGGAATTCAGAAAAATGATTATAAATTGTTTCAAAACACTTTACAATGGAGTTGAGAAAAATAAGGAAAAAGGAAAGTGCTACAGGAACAATTAAATAAAGACAGATACAGCATTGGAAACAATTCAAAACCTACAGAAAGACGTCCAAATGATCAATAATAGAATATCAGAAATAGATAATAAACTGAAAAGGCAAAGGAGTAGAATAGACAAGATGGAAGGCAGAACCAGTGATCTGGAAGACAAATCTCTCAATCCCACTAAGATAGAAGAACAAACACAAAAAAGAATTAAAAAAAAAAAATCTGAAGAAGGTCTAAGATTCATGTTGGACAACATTAAGAGGCAAACTTAAGAATTATCAGCATTCCAGAACAAGAAGAATCACACAAGTCCACAGAGGAAATAGTTGAAGAAGTGCTAGAAGTAAATTTCTCTAACATCCTGAAAAGTGAAAAGATAACATTCAAGAAGCTCAACGAACCCCAGGAAGGATAGACCCCGAAACAAATTCACCAAGACATATCAAAATCAAGCTATCCAAAGATAAGGAGACACTCATGAAAGAAGCTAGGGAAAACAGAAGTGTCACATACAAAGGCAAGCAAGTCAGATTAAGCTCAGATCTCTCAGCAGAAACCATGCAAGCAAGAAGGCAATGGAGAGACATATAAAACCTAGAAAGAAAAAATTGTGAACCAAGAATCCTTTATCCTGCAAAGCTATCAATCAAATACAATGGTGTAATCAAACATTCCAGGATAAACAGATGCTAAGGGATTTTGACAAAGCCAACCCTTCACTACAAAACATCCTAAAGGGAGTTCTGTGGACTGAGAACCAACAAGAACATACAACAACCAGAGACTGACATATGTGGCAACATCTCCCAGAATTAAATCGAAAGAAGGTTCGCAGCCTGATTCGTAACCACTACAGTACCAGAGCTCCTTTCAGTAATAGTTGTTGTTGCTATTGTTAAGTGCCATTGAGTTGGTACCGACTCATAGTGACCCTATGCACAACAGAACAAAACACTGCTCGCTCCTGGGCCAACCTCACAATTGTTGCCATACTTGAGCCCATTGATGCTACCAATCCATCTCATTGGGGGTCTTCCTCTTTTTCTCTGACCCTCCACATTACTAAACATGATGTCCTTCTCCAGCAACTGGTCCCTCCTGACAATATGCCCGAAGTATGAGAGACGAAGTTTGGCCATTTTGGCCTCCAAGGAGCACTTGGATGCATTTCTTCCAAAACAGATCTCTTAGTTCTTTTGACATAGGAGATTTTAATATACCACTTTATTAAAAAGACAGAATAACTAGAAGGAAAGTCAACAAAGACACAGGAATGAAGCACAATCACTCAACTCTACCTCAGTGATTTATCAGAGCACTGAACCCAACAACAGCAAAGTATGATTAATATTCTTTTCTACTACACAGGGAACATTCTCCAGAATAGACAATATGTTAATAAACATAGTATACCTCAATAGATTTTAATAATCAAAATACTACAAAGCATCTTTTCATATCACAATGCTATAAAATTAGAAATCAACAATAGGAAAGTCAAGGAA